CTCTCTCTCTCTCTTTCTTTCTTTCTCACTCGGTGTATCTTTCTTTCTCTCTGTCTCTGAATATGTGTGACTATTTGTTGTGTATCATGTCCATACATTGATGCGCGCGTGCTTGCTTATTTCTGTATGTCTGTCTGTCTGTTTGTCTGGCTGCGTCTGTCTGTCTGTCTGTCTATGTGTATGTCTGTTCGTCGGTCTGTTTGTCTGTATAATCTGTCTGTCTGTCTGTATGTCTGTCTGCCTGCCAGCTTGCCTGTCTGTCTGTCTGTCTGTCTGTCTGTATGTCTGTCTGTCTGTCTGTCTGTCTCTCTCTCTCTTTCTTTCTTTCTCTATCTATCCATCCATCCATCCATCCATCCATCCATCCATCCATCCATTCATCCATCCATCCTTCCATCCATCCATTCATCCATCCACCTATCTATCTATCCATCTATCTATCTATCTATCTATCTATCTATCTATCTATCTATCTATCTATCTATCTGTCTATCTATCTATCTGTCTCTCCCTCTTCAACTATCAGTTTGTATATCGTGTCCGTACCTTGACTTGTGTGTTTCTGCATGACCTGGTAGAGCGACGTGCCATAGTTGTACATTACTCGTATGGTCCTTTATGTAGCGTGATGGATTGATTTTTGCGTAGCTGGAACAGAGGATGGGACGTCTAGTTTGATTTTTGCTTAAAGATGTCTATAGTATCGGCCATCATCACCGTGTGAGTGGTTGGTGGGTGTTTTGGTGTGATTTAACTCCTTTTTTCCTGTCAAACGACTATCGTGATCTTTATCCAAATCTCCCCTCCAGGTTTGCTCCTTCTTTCCTATCATACATCTATCGTCCTTATCCCCCCTTCTTCTTTTATATATTCGTTACTCTCTTGTAACACCTCCAATCTTCTGGCGCTCATATGACCTTATGAAGTTGCGAGCGCCGCAAAACCTCTACTAAAACTAACAATTCTCTCCTCGTTTTTGTTTATACAGTGGCGTCCAAAAGAAACTTGAAAATGTTATCACCCAATCATCGTGTTATAGCTTTGTACTAACCACTCATGCAGCGTGCCAATTTAAAGCTAAATAAATTCTACATCATCTGACACATTAATATTTCATCTATGTTAAGAGACGCCCTAGATATGCTCACTCAAAATTGACGTTTAAAAATCGGGCTGGGCAAAATTGTGCAAGTGGGTGGTTGGCGGGTGCTCTGGTGTGGTTTGCTCCTTCTTTCCTATCAAACGTCCATTGTCTTTATTTCCCCCTCCTTCTTTTTTAGTAGTTGTTACTCTCTTGTAACACATTTAATCTTCGGCACTTATAAGACCTTATTGCGTTGGAAGTGCCGTAAAACACTTACTAAGACTGAAAAAGGGTGCAAAATCAGAGAAGCGTAAAAGTGTGTTCACACGTATATTGAGGTGCATCAACATTGGTGGAATGGACAAATTGAATATCTAATGAAAAGACTATACGATTGTCTCTACTATAAATAGCATCTTCTTATGATATTTTCAAACAGATTGGAAAACAGAGCAGTTACAATACCCCTCAAAACCTGGCCATGTGTTCATTGGTCTAAATTTTGTTTTGTTTTTAGGAGCTATTGGTTTCGTGTTTTTGCACTTGGACTGTAGTCGGCTAGATTTTTAAACATAGTCTTGTGTCAGTGAGGAACACAGGCCTCGAAACTGTCGAACATACGAGAATCATGTGTCAGTGAGGAACAGAAACCACGAAACTGTCGAACATTATGAGAATCATGTGTCAGTGAGGAACAGAAACCACGAATCTGTCGAACATACGAGAATCATGTGCCAGTGAGGAACAGAGTCCACGAAACTGTCATGGTTTTGAGTGGTCTGGAGTGGAATGAACAAAACCACCCTCGTGAGAATCAGCGGATGGCTTGGTTTAGTGGACTACATCGCGCAAGTGCTGGAACGTCACGTCTTACCCTTATTTTCCTCACAGTGTCATTTAAGTAGACACCCCCATGCTTTGCAAAGTACTTTTTGCTTCTTCTGTCCTATCAAACATCTATTGATCTTATCCCCCCTTCTTCTTTTTTATGTAGTTTGTTATTTTCTTGTAACACCTCTAATCTTTGGCACTAAAATGACCTTATTGTGTTGCAAGTGCCGTAAAACTCTTACTAAAACTTTTTTTTAAACGTTGCGTCTCTTCCCACAGGAGTCAACCCAGGGGGTGGAGCAATAATCAACAACGGGGTCGTCTGGAATGTCGAGAGAGGCAATGCCGGACTGCCAGGTGCGCTCATGGGGGCCGGCGAGGGGGGCAAGAGCTCCAACTTCCGCGACTACGAGCCAGCGGCAGTGGCCAGTGCCAGGCGCAAAATGATACCTGTGCTGCCGGACGCGCTCATCAAGTCGGAGTCTGTGGACATGGGTCAGAGGTGAGTTGTAACCTGTCGACATGGGTCAAAGGTGAGTCGTAGCGTCAGAGGTGAGTCGTAACCTGTCGACATGGGTCAAAGGTGAGTCGGGGTCGGAGGTGAGTCGTAGGGTCAGAGGTGAGTCGGGATCTGTCGACATGAGTCAGAGGTGAGTTGTTACTAGCCAGTCGACATGGGTTGAAAGATGAGTCTTGGGGGGGGTGGGAGGGGGGTCAAAAGTGGGTCTTAGCCTGTTGATATTGGTCAAAGGGGAGTCATATTCTGTTAACGAGGGTCAAAGGTGATTCGTAATCTGTGGATATGGGTCGGAGGTGAGTCTTAGCCTGTAGATATGAGGTCATAAGTGAGTCTTAGCCTGTAGATATGGGGTCAAGGGTGAGTCATAGCCTGTAGATATGGGGTCAAAGGTGAGTCATAGCCTGTAGATATGGGCTAAAAGTTAAGTCGTAGGCCATCAACAAGGACCAAAAGTCAGTTGTAGTCTGTGGATATGGGTCAAAGATGGGTCAGAGTCTGTCAACATTGGTCAAATATGAGTTCTCTGAACTGTTAAATGGATCTTCCTATTAATTACAAGTTTGATGGGTGGGAATAGGGATGGATGTTATTGGGGTTTTTTCTTTTCACCTATCAAAAATGTGTCGTCCTTACTTCTCTCTTTTCCTTCATTTTTTTTTTCTTTGTATGTTACACTCTAGATACACCTCTAATCTTTGGCCCTTATATGACCTATTTGTGTTGCAAGTGCTGTAAAGACTCGTGTGCATGGTTGGCGGGTGCTCTGGTGTGGTTTGCTCCTTCTTTTCTATCGAACATCTATCGTTCTGATCTCTCCTTCTTTTTTTGTGTTTGTTACTCTCTTGTAACACCTCTAATCTTCGGCACTTGTATGACTTTATTGTGTTGCAAGTGCCGTAAAACTCTTACTCAAACTAAACTCTAGATACATCTCTAATCTTTAGCCCTTATATCACCTATTTGTGTTGCAAGTGCTGTAAAAACTCGTACTAAAACTTTAAAAAATAAAACTTGTACATTTTCAGGCTGGGTGGTGGTGTGTTTGCCGACACCCACATCGCCCGGTGGAACGAGATGAGCGTGGCGGTCAAGCGTCTGACGCTGTCCATCCATAGCAACCAGCTGACCAGCGAGGCCATGGAGCTGATGAAAGAGGAAGTCTGGTTTCTGAGGTAGGGAGGAAGGGCATATACCTCCTTCTTTCTTTCTTTCTTTGCATTGTGAGGGGATTTTTAAGTTTTAAAAGTTTTGTTTTTGTTTGGGTCAAGTTGGTTCTTGGATGGTTTTATTGTGGTGCAACGCTATGTTATGTTTTTCTGTCAAAAAGTACACTGCTTGTCTGAGTGCATCTGCTATTTCAGGGATGTCAGGGTTTTTTTGTTTAGGTTTTTTCCTGTTATTTCAATTTTTTTAGATAATAAGAATTGAATAAAAATTAAATATTGATGAGGTCCAGACACTTCCGTTGTTTTTCTTTCTTAGCTTTTTAGTAGAGGTTTTACAGCGCTCGCAACTGCATAAGGTCGTATGAGCGCTTTTTTCAATTTTTCAAACAAAAAAGATGGTATGAAGAGCAGATATTATTCTCAGTATTTGTTTTCTGTTTAACTACCATATTAATTGATTCTATTTTAACTGTCTTTTTCTTTGCATATATATACAACTTCATCAATCTTCAGTTAGTGTCACCAAACCCCAGTGGCTTACATCCTTGCAATTTAATTAAAAGCATTTTTGGCAAATTTTTTCCCTTTGGCTGCGGGTGGTTGGAAGGTACCGCTGGTAGGTCCTACTTCTTCACTTTCCCTCTGCTGTCTGTCTTACTTTTCCCAAGCACTAAATGACCATTATTGAGTCGATGTGCTTCTCTTGACTCAAACAGACAAACCAACAAAGGTGGGTGGTTGGCGGGTGCTCAGGTGTGGTTTGCTTCTTCTTTCCTATCAAACATCTATTGTCCTTGTCTTTCCTTCTTCTTTTTTATGTTTGTTACTCTCTTGTAACACCTTTAATCTTCTGGCGCTCGTATGACCTTATGCAGTTGCGAGCGCCGTAAAACCTTTAATAAAACTAAACTAAAACAAATCCCTTTGGCTCTTCCATCAGTCGTCAGCGGCACAAGAACATCGTGTGCGTCCTGGGCCTGAGTCTTGATGGGCGTCTGCCGTTTTTGTTGACCGAGTACATCATCGGAGAATGCCTGAAGGACTATCTCGGTGTCAACGGTCAGCACCTGACCTGGCCCCAGAGAATTCGCATGGTAAGTTACAAGCGCATGAGCAACAAAGAACCACATACGAGGGCTGTCCCACGGAAAACCGGAATTTGGCTGTAATTTGAAAACTATTCAATATTTTCACATTCTGTAAACGCACACTTGTAAAACAATAATTTAGAAATTTCCCGATTGAGCACCATGAGCATCGCACAAACCAAACGAGCACAGCAGTTCTCAAAAGATGGCTACCCCCTTGGAAAATTGGTAAAGGGTAGAAGTGAGGTCTGTCATTCGGTTTCTGACCGCAAAAGGTCTCAAACCTCTAGAAATACACACTGAAATAAAGTCAGTTTATGGGGAGAAAGTAATGGCAAGGTCACAGGTATATGAGTGATGTAGTAAGTTCAAAGCCGGACACTCCGATATCAATGATAAAGTTTACCCAGGACTGAGGATAACAAGAGTCACGTTAACGAACTTATTCAAACAGACAGGCGCCTAAAAATTCGCGAAATTTGCGAGTCGCTAAACATTTCAAAGTCGACTGTCTATAGGATATAGTTTGATGAGCTGCACTATTGAAAGGTCTCTGCTTGATGGGTTGGGGCCGAAAAAGACGAGCGGGGTCATTTTGCTGCATGGCAACACAACGCCACACACCGCAAACGTCACGAAAGACTGGTTCCAAAGGTTCGGCTAGGAAGTTCTACTACACCCCCCTCACAGTCCTGACTTGGCCCTGTCAGATTATCACCTTTTCGAACCAATGAAACGCCATATTTCTGGACAGCGATTCACCGACGACGAAGACCTCGTGGAAGCCGTGAACGATTGGTTGAAATCCCTTGACGAAAGATTCTTCAGGGAGGGTATCTTCTCCCAGATCCAGCGATGGGAAAAATGTGTCCAGCGGGATGGTGATTACATTGAGAAATAAAGCACATGTTGAGGTATGATGTGTTACAGTTTTATTATAATAGGACAAAGATTTTTGCTTTTACGGACCTTTTCCGGTTTTCCTTGGGACAGCCCTCGTAATATGGTAAACTCCTTGTCTCCGGCAAGCCACTCCCAGCGGCTTTCGGTCAGAACCGCTGTGCCGTTAAGCTACTGGTAGCAGCTCGGGCACGTTCCATTACGACAACTTTGACAATAAATTACTGTTGCCAAAAACAGGTCTCTTTTAGCAAGATGTCATTCATTAGATGAAGAACTATAGAAACAGGTTCACTTATTTTGATTTAGTGACCAATTTAGTGATGTAAATTTTGTACCAAAACAGGGCCAAATTTTTTTTTTTGCTAAATGGAAAGTCTGATCAGTAACCTAACTTGTGTGAAAAAATCAAAGTGTAAAAACTGCGATTAGATTTTGAATAAATTCAAATTCAAATTTTGGAATCAGTCTATTTTTAAATGGTTACGCTGACAAAAAAAAACTCTTTTTCTCGAAACTACTGCGAAGAAAAAAGCCGTTTTGTCAGCTTACCGCAGTATTGTCCTTATTTCTCCTCCTTCTTTTCTTTCCATATCATTCTCTTGTGGTAACACCTCTAATCTTCGGCACTCTTTGACCTAAAGCCGTAAAGCTCTTCGAAATATAAAACCTGCCCTTTCAGGGATGAATGTTAAAATTTGTCAGAGGTCCTTCCTTTTGAACAAGTTTACAATGTTGCAAGGCACATTAAACCTCTATGAAATTTCACATTCACACCCCCCCCCCCCCCCCAACCCCCCTTCATCATATGTTTCCAGTGCAGCCAGGTTGCAGACGGCATGGCTTTCCTCCACTCCACCAAACCTCCGATCATCCATAGGGACCTGCGCTGTGGCAACCTCTTTCTGTCCGACAACGACCTTGTCAAGGTGAGTGTCTCGGTCTGGATGTTTTGTTGGGGTTTTTTTGGTTTTTTGGAAGGGGAGGTTCTGTTGTTGTAGTTGGTGGGTGGTTGGCAGGTGCCCTGGTGTGGTTTGCTTCTTCTTTCCTATCAAACATCTATCGTCCTTATCTCCCCTTCTTCTTTTTATGTTTGTTACTCTCTTGTAACACCTCTAATCTTCTGGCACTCATATGACCTTATGCAGTGGCGATCGCAGTAAAACATCTACTAAAACAATAAACATATATTGTTATAGTTGTATAAATCATTTTGAAAGTTGCATCAAAGGTGCCTTTGGAAGAGAACGATCATGCGCGAAAAGCGATGATAAAGGAGAGTTAGACAACTCATAAACGATAACCCGCTCATTGTAAATCTGGTCAGATCATTCCATTAGGAATATTGACAAGTCCACATTCTCATCTCGATTTTTGCATTGGGACATGCAAGACAATCGCCAGATTGGCCGACATCTGTGCTGTAGCGGTTACTCACTTCGCTGTCACACGCAGGGGACCCGAGTTTTCGTTTCCTGAGTGGGGAGAAAGTTTTTTTGGGTATCTCGGCCTTTCTGCTGAGTTGTTGTATCCCTCTCAACCGGGTTGGCTCTGACGGGCAGGGCGAGAAGCCTGCCTCCTAAATGATCTAAATTGCGTTGATAGAAGTATGAAAAAACACCTACTTTTTTTTTAAAGATGAAATGTCTTCAAACTCAAGACTCCTTTTTTGTTCCAGGTGGCAGATTTCAGCTTGGCAAAGCTTCTGCAGCCCATACGAAATCAATGTGAAGAGGATGACTGCAGCTGTAAGTTTTATAGCATCAAGAGCTTCTTTGCATACAGTCTTTCCCTAATCTCTGTGCTCATTTGAGGAAATGACAGGTTTTCAAGTGGGTGGTTGGCGAGTGCTCTAATGTGGTTTGCTTCTTCTTTCCTGTCAAACATCTATCGTCTTTATCTCCCCTCCTTCTATTTTGTGTTGTTACTTTCTTGTAACACCTCTTATCTCCGGCACTTATATGACCTTATTGTGTTGCAAGTGGCGTAAAACACTTACTAAAACTTAAAAAAACAGGTTTTCAAGATCCCTATTTTAAAGGCCAGTTGCTCATGAATTTACAGACATTTTAAAGAATATCAGAAGTTAAAATATTAATCTTTGAACTGTTGTGATCATACTGATTGATGATAGTGCAAATATCTAACTAGAAATGTGGATGGTTGGCAGATTCTCTGATGTGGTTTGCTCCTTCTTCCCTGTCAAGCATCTATCGTCCTGATCTCTTCTTCTTTTTGTGTGTTCATTATTCTCTTTTTGTACCTCTGATCATCAGCACTTATTTTACCTTAATGAGCTGCAACGGCCTCACTAAAATTTAACAAGTTCCTTTGTATATAGGTCAGTTGTCCATGAATGTATAGACAAGTTTTAGAATATCAGAATTCAAAAGGTTTTGTTTGAAGTTTGGTCAGAATGTCCCTTATGGTTTTCAACGCTTGTTGGAAATGATGTGAGTGACAAAGTGAAATGTAATTTGACTCATTTTGTTGCCATAACTATTGAAAAATCAATAATTGAAAAGAGAATGAGCTTCTTTTTGATAAAAACACCATTATAGTGGGTTCATTGAATTATCGTGGTTGTGCTATTTGATGACACTGCGAACTTTGAACTGTGGGTGGCTGGTGGGTACTCTGATGGGGTTTGCTCTTTCTTTCCTATCTAACATCTGTCGACCTTATCTCTCCTTCTTTTCTTTGTATGTTACTCTCTAGTGACCCCTCGAATCTTTAGCCGTTATAAAACCTATTTGTGTTGCAAATGCTGGAAACTCTTACGAACACTAAACCAAACGCCTCTAATCTTTGGCGCTTATATGACCTAATTGTGTTGCAACTGCTGTGAAACTCTCACTAAAACTAAACTAAGTGGGTTGTTGGCGGGTGCTCTGGTGTGGTTTGCTCCTTCTTTCCTATCAAACATCTGTCGTCCTTTTCTCCCCTCCTTCTATTTTGTGTTTGTTACTCTCTTGTAACACCTCTAATTTTCTGACGCTCGTATGACCTTATGCAGTTGCGAGCGCCATAAAACCTCTACTAAAACAACAAACTTATCTAAAAGTACCAAAACTTCCTGCACAGGTCAGAGACTGAAGAGTGGTTGCCCGGCAACCATACGCTGGACGGCCCCAGAGCTGCTGGCACACCCACAGGCCCGCGAGGGGGAGGGCACGGTCATCTCCACGGCCATCGACGTTTACTCCTTTGCCATGATCATGTGGGAGACGGTCTTCTACAAAGATCCTTTCGACGAAATCAGCACCGAGGAGGAGGTAGGTGCATTAACACTTTGCCATCATATTTTGGGGAAATTCCAAAGAAACTGGGTGGTAAACATCGTCAATCGGCGAGATGAGGCGGCAAAGTGTTAACTCTTTATGTCCAGAAATCCGCTCCCAGCGGCTCGTGGTCGGATTCCCTGTGTCGGTGAGCTGCTGACAGCGGCTCGGGCGTATTTCTTTACAACAACTTCTCCGCATCAAATTACTTTTCAGCATTTGCCGAAAACAGGTGTCCTTTATCAGGAGTTCATTCATTAGATGAACAATCAAAGTAGGTTCACTTGTTTTGATTTAATGCCCCATTTAGTGACGTTTTTGTCATTTTTAGAAAATCCAACCAAAGTAGGGGCCCAGCATAGTGGGTTCTTCTCTTCCCCCCCTGGAGATAAAGAGTTAAATATAACCCCCCTGGAGATAAAGAGTTAAATATAACAGGTGGTTGACGAGTGAAGAGTTAAATATAACAGGTGGTTGACGAGTGAAGAGTTAAATATAACAGGTGGTTGACCAGTGTTTTGGTATGTTTTGCTCCTTCCTTCCTATCAAAAACCATTCGTCCTTATCTCTCCTTTTTCTTTTCTTTGTATATTGCTGTCTAGTAACACCTCTAATCTTTGGTACTTATATGGTCTTTTTGTGTTTCAAGTGCCATAAAATTCTTAACAGTAGTAATATTACACAGCATTTATATAGTGCTTAACCCATCTCGACAGCAAGCTCTATGGGGTTTACTCTATTCCATTACCCCGCCCAACAGACCATTGAACACTCAAAAACATTTTCAGCAAACTAGCAAGATATTTTGCTGTCTGTAGCCGGGTACCCATTCCCACCTAGGTGAAATGAGGAATATTTGTGGCAAATGCCACAAATGACACAACATTAAACACCTGACGAGATTGGAACCCATGGCCATGCCATACAGGGGGCTCTCGTGACCTAGAGGTTAAGGAGTTCGCCTCTCATTCAAAGGTTTCGAATCTGGGAAGCGACCGAAAAATTTTCTTCACTAAAATTTCTCCTTTCACATCCTTTCCTGCTCTCTAGCAATGTTCTCTCGTGTGCTTTCGTCTCCACTTTCTGCCCCCACCCCCCCTCACCTCCTTTGCCCCCTCCTCTGGGCTCCTGACTCTTTCTGCAGCCTTTCTACTGCTACTCCTTGACTCCTCCTTACTGCTGTCTTTCAGCCACACCCCTGATCTTCTGGTAGGACAGATCTTCACCTAGCCTTCTCGGACAAGGGTGAAAAATCTCGGAGGGCCCGTGTGCAAGTTGAGCACGTTAAAGATCCTTTGGTGGTCGAGCAAAATTCAAAATTTCCTACCAACTGAAAATTTTAAGTGTGACCTTATGCAGTTGCGAGCGCCGTAAAATTCTTACAAAAAAAAAAAAACATACAGTTGCGAGTCTGCAAGCTGAACTAAAACTAAACACAACTGACCTGTCTGCCTTTTCCAGGTGATAGAGATAGTGAAGAATGGCGGGCGGCCGGAAGTGGCGTCTACAGCTGACATGATGCCTCAGTTCAAAGATCTCATGAAAGTGTGCTGGGATCAGAGGCCTAGTGTGCGCCCACCCTTCAAACAAGTGAGCTCATTACTTTTGTGTTTTATCCAATTATTTTATCCCATCTCATCCAGTCTCTATTTATCGTAGCACGTCACATCTCGTATTTTTCCACATATCATTATAAAATAAATAAATAAAATTACACTTTTATTTGTCCCAGAAGGGCATTTTGGTTTACAATAGCAAACAAACATATACATACATAAATACATAATTATAAATACATACATACATAAATACGTGCATAAATACATACATAAATACACAATATAAACACATTATTATTATAATATTATGTCATATCTCTTCTCACATCATCTTTTTTCATATCATTTTATTTCCTCTCACCTTATCTCATTTTGTCACCTCATAGCTAAATCTAAACTTGTCTCATCGTATCTCTCCTCTTTTCATCTCATCTTGTCTCATCTTATTTCAGTTAATCTCATCTCATTTAACTTCTTCTCATCTCATCCAAACCAGTCCTATTCCATCTTGTCTGTGGGTGGTTGGCAGTTGCTCTGGTGTGGTTTGCTTATTCTTTCCTATCAAACATCTATCGTCTTTATCTCCCCTTCTTCTTTTTTGTGTCTGTTACTCCCTTGTAACACCTCAAATCTTCGGCACCTATCTGACCTGATTGTGTTGCAAGTGCTTTAAAACTTATTAAAACTCATCTTCTCTCATTCCATCTCATTTCATTTTTTTTTAAATCTAATATCATCTTTGTCTCATTTCATCTCATCTCGTCTTTGTCTCGTCTCATCTCATCTTCTCTTTGTCTCATCTCATCCCATCTCATCTTCTCTTTGTCTCATCTCATCCCATCCCATCTCCTCTTTGTCTCATCTCATGTCATCTCATCTTCTCTTTTTCTCATCTCATCCCATCTCCTCTTTGTCTCATCTCATCTCATTCCATCTCATCTCCTCTTTGTCTCTTCTCATCCCATCTCATCTTCTCTTTGTCTCATCTCATCTCGTCCTCCCCAGCTGGCTGTTAATCTCAAAGAGATGGTCGGCGCGGCCAGAGCTCACCAGAAGTCTCAGAGCAACAAGCAACGACAGCACAAACCACAGCACGGGGCCGAGAAAGTGTGAAGGATTTCTTTTTTCCATTTTTCACTTTTTTAAAGTCTCGTTCTAAAATGATGGCGGAATCTACGCCACTCGTGGTGAAATGAAACGTGTCTGATGTTGTGCCTACTTGTCGTGTGTGTGCTAGAACTCAGTCATACCATCTCTCCATCCCTCCATCTGTCCATTTCTCCGGTTGACACATCTGTCCATCTCTCCTGCTGACAAGTTTGGATCCGCGGGATGAAGAGTTGTGTTCAAAGACTCTTTTAGGTTTCCTGTGGCACACGGTTTAGAGGTTGATTGCCTATAATTCGATCCTGCAGATTATTCTCTGTGTGGGCTAGATAAGACTGTATGCTTTTTGTGGCCTCAAGGCTTACAATGTAAGGTGCATGTTTATTTTAAGTGTGATTCTGTTGATGGCACGGGTAGAACAAGTTATGTTTTGTAAGTAAAAACACCGTCGGTGGTGGTGTGGGGTTGGGTCAAGGTATTGCACCAGTTGAAATAATCTTCAGGGTTAATGGCATTCAGAAATGTTTTTAAGAAGTGAATTGTATCGGTTCAAGGCTCCACAGCGAATCCTTGGAATTTTTATCTCGTTCTTTCAGCCCCCACCGAATTTTGTACAAAGTCGTGAAGACTAGATTTCACGTGTTCCTGACTTGGGACTAATTTCTGTGTGTACTCTGAGTGCGCTTCAATTTGTGTCAACCCTGAGATGTTTCAGACAGTCTGATAGAAGTGGCTTCTCACCTGTCGTAGTTTTACTCTGCTCCCGTTCAGATGAGACACATGGCGCTCATATGACCTTATGCAGTTTTGCGAGCGCCGTAAAACCTTACTAAAACTAAAGATGAAGACACAAAGCAGGCTCTGTGAAACTACAGAACACGGTAGAAATTGTCAAAAAGAGGATCATTCATTGTTGAGGAGAAAAGTGGACATCTTAGACAGATGAACTTTTAGGGCAGCGTCTTTAAAGTGTAACAAAATGCGAAGGCTGGAGTGGGAAATGGCTGTTTGTACAGGAGATTGTCTTATACAGGTGTCCAGAAGAGCTATTCAACTGTAATTTTTTTTTTTTTTTTTCGAAACCAGGGGGTTTAATTTCTTGTCATGTCGTAGATGGGTGGAAAGCCTGTAATGTATCACTGTAGCGAGGACAAAATGTGTTCTCAGTTCATTAAGTGGGACAGAGAATCTTCCTGAAATCCAATATGTGTCCGGGGTTTTGGGGGGGGTTTTTGTCTGTGTTTTTTCTTCAGAGATTAACCTGTTTGTGACCCAGGGTCCATTTGTGCTTCGCCAAGCACAACTTTGGATACCCGAGATGAAGAATTGTTCTGAAATTCTTAGGGTGGCTCTCATTGAGAGGTTGAAGGCCTGTAATTTGATCTAGTTTGTAAATATTTGGCAAATCATCTCTGAAAGCAAAACATTTCTTCTTACGGAATGTGTCATTGCGTTAGAATCTGCAATAATTTTTTTTGTAATATCGTCCAATACAAATAGTTTGGTGAACACAAAATATGACTCGGAGCTCTCATCATTATGGCCCTGGCACTTTGCAAAGCATGATGACAAACGCCGTTTGTAATAGAGCAGCATCGTGCTTTCTTTGCCACATACCTAAGAAAAAAAATGATGAAAGGCTCTCATCACATGGGTCAAAAAGGGCTTAATAGTTTTTGAACTGTCATGGTAGCTCTCACAGAGAGTGTTGCAGTCATTTAGTGAACTAAGTTGTTATATTATTATCTTAAGAAATTTTTCGGATATGGAAAAAAGTTGTTTTAGAAAGGGTTGCTCTTTCTCATGTTGTTAGGTTGTTTATTTCTGTTTTCTGATGGGAGTGTTGTGTTCATCACTTTTGTTCCACATTTGTTGTAAACGGGTTCATGTGAAATTCATAATTCATCTTATGTTAGTTGAGATGCTCGTTATTTCATGTTCAGTGGTTTATTGTGTCTTGCCAAGTAGTTTGATCTGTAGGAGGTGAGCACATGTATGCCTTAAAACCTACTGCTGTCAATTGTGAGACTGGTTTTAAAATTCAGTCGTAAGATTTTGTGATGTTTATTGACAAATTGCTGCTGCAAGATTTGGGACAGTGAGTGGAGTTTCGACTTACAGTTTTTAAGTTCTTGGTCTCAACGTACACCCTGGTTCTTTTTGCTCACCTTGATCGTGGGTGGTTGGCAGGTGCTCTGGTGTGGTTTGCTCCTTCTTCCCTATCAAACGTCTCTATAGTTGTTTCTCTTTCTGCTTCCTTTTCTTTGTACATTTCTCTCTCATAACACCTCTGATCTCCAACACTGATGTGGTGTAATTATGTTGCAAGTGCTGTAAAACTTTCACAAAGACACCTTGGCTGTTGCCACAGTCACCTTCACCACCCACCCACACAGCGTTTTGGGCGAAGAACGAGGCGAAATAAGACTCACAAAGCTGTACAAGAAGGGGTTAAATGCAAGTTTCAGATGATCAAGAGTTTTGTTGGGATTTTTATTGGTTGTTGGTGGGGGGATATTTTTTGGATGTAGTGAGCTTTAGCTGAATTTTACCCTTTTAAATAGATGTTCACTATAGTGTTTTTTTTCACCAAGTTTTGGTTGAAACATTGATGTTTGTTAGGGTTTTTTTCTGAATGAATTTCCATTGGTGACTGTTTGTGTCTAGTGAGTCAATTGAGGCCGCCTATTATTGTCTACAAAGTATGTCATATGTGAGAAAATGTAACTGATAACAGTTATGCATATTTCTCAACATGGTTAATGTAGAGCTTATATATATACATCTGTTTCTCATATTTTTAATGCATTTTAACCATCTGCGTAATAACCGAGAAGTGTTCAGACTAGATCGGATATCCGTAGAACTGTCGAGAATTCTGGCTTTGGCTTTCTGGTTGTATGTGATTCTGATCTATAGGATTGTTGATTGTTCCATTGTTCTCTGTGCTGGTTTTGTTGGTTTGCCTCTTTTGTTCACTCGGCTTTGGCTTTACTTTGTTGGGAGAGACTTCGAGCAGTCTTGCCGACTTTCCCAATTTTCCGGGAACTGTCTCACATTCGACAATCGGGAATGTGACGGCCTTATAACATACACAAAAACTCGTTCATTTTACCAGTATGTAATTTTGTTCGTTGTCAGGTAACTCAATCCCAGTCGGGGACAAGCAACTTTACTTAACTTCACATTAATTGTGAAATGGGAAAGAACTTGAAACTATACCATCTCATCATAGGTGATCGGAAGTTTTGTAATGTTTTATGTCTCTGGTTGCGCGTTGAAAATGTTGGAAAACCTGTTTTGAGCATCTGTCATCCTATGAAGGACAGATTGTTTTAATTTAGATAGATAGTTTAAAACTTTCAGCATTATAAGATAATGAATACGGCCACTATTTGTCTACTACCGGTCAAAAGTTTTTGTGACCTAGACTCCTAGAGATATGTATACTTAACTGACTCTGGTTTGACTAAACTGACTTTGGTTTGCAGGAAACTTTTACCACATTAAGGGAGAAAAACTCGCAAAGTGCCAGTATCTTGACATCTTTTGTCTTATATGATGTACATTTTTTTCCACTTTTATTCATCTTGGTTATAAGCACTATAAAAATGTGGTGTTTGTTTCTGGGTGTGTGTCCCAAGTTTTTATTTTGTTTTTTCTCCTCTGTTTGCCGTACTGTCGTTTCGGTACATTTATCGTGTTTGCTCAAATTGTACTTCTTTCTCCTCCTTCTGTGATATATGCTCTATTTCTATTGATTTTCAGGAGCAGGTAATTAGCGATAACAAGCATGGGTCATGAAAAGTTGGGCAGAAATTCCGATCCCATTTGGTAAACAGAAAGTGTGTCTGGCTTGGTCCTGTTTAACTCATATATGGATGAGCGTTCTGGTCATTTGACAACGTTGAAGATGCGCTGTGCTGTTTTGAGGCATTTAACGTCTTAACTGCTGAGTCGACGTACGTGTATGTACTTGTGTGTGCTCTAAAATTTGTTCACGGACATTTTTCTCTGCTGATTTGTACAATAAGTTTTAGGACATAGAGCCACAGTTTGTAGTTTCTTACCCATAAAAAGGGGAAAGATGTGATGGCTTTGTAAAGCTCCCTTGAAAGATCATTTCATTTTGTCAGTATAAACATAGATGGAAATATCTCAGCAGTAAAGGGGTGAAAGAAAACGAAGCATAACTTTGTCATTCACACAAATTTTTCAGTTCTGTTTTCTTTGCCTAAAATGTTTTTAAAGGCAGACAACAACATTTGTACTGTGAAATATTCAAACTCGTGTTTTTGGAATCAGCCTCAACAATGCCTCTGCCCTGTTGCTGATCAAACAAATGCTTATCAACCCTATCCGTATGTCGTGTTTTACTATCGTATCCATACGATGTGGGGAACTCTGCGCCACCACTTTCCAAAAATAAAATTTTCACGTTAATCTGATCCGTACGCTTCACATAGCAGTCTGTCAAAACGATTTTTTGAGAAATACTGAAAGTTTCAAAGAGATTTTGTACTAGGAGTATTCTAAAATGTGAAGAATACAACCCCGGGGGTAAAAAATGATCCCAGGGCGTACGGATAGTGTTAAGGATGCGTTGTTTTGGAGTAGTTTAAAGAATTGGGCAGTACTTCTTTATTCAAGCAGACTTTTCAGTCTTGTCAGGCTACAACACGCAAACTGTGAAATATAAAGCAAATCTGAGTTTCTCATTTGTGTTTGATGGTTTTTAAATGTGCAGCAACATTGCCTGTGATCTGCTGCTGATTAGACATATATATATACATATATGTCCGCTACATCCTGAAATAGTTAAAGGAAGAGATCCCCTAATGCTGACCAAGTCAGTCCTGCTTTTGTCTAGACGATGTAAATAAGTGAACTGAAGCAGAGGTTCAATTTGAACTTAAAGCTCTTCATTGCCTTTTGTTTTCTAAGACCCTGTCGGAATACTTTGTCCATGCCATTTGATTATGGTTGTTATCGCTGAGCGCCTCTTTTAGCCTCTATTTTATTTGCAGCAGCAATAGAAAGACATAATAATAATTCATTTTGTTTTCTGTTTTTTCCCTTAAACTTTAATTTTTTAGACTGTGATAATCCTTTCCTGGTTCCCATTCCGCCACTATGCTAAAACATTTTGCTTTTCACAATGGTTTCATGATGGAAAAAGTGTTTGTTTTTAGAAAGGAGGAGGAGGAGGCTAGTGAAAATATTTTTTTGGAAGTTTTTTTAATGAAATCATTTTTTATAATAGACCTAGTTGTGTATCATATGCTGAGAAAGGAGTAATTCTAATTATAGAGCTGTTGTTCTCTCCCGCTATGTGAAATAGCTCTGTACGACAGGCCTACGTTGTTGGAACGAGCAAACAGTGATGAAAAACCACTCTTTGAAACATTTTAGGTTTATAGAACGCAAACGATTTGAAAATGAAATTTGTAAGTGAGATTGTGTTGTCTGTATAGAAGAGACATTATTTTATTTACCTTGGCATGTCTTGAATGTTTACAGTGATATTGTAGACACACGTAACACTTACTTGTATTGGCATTCTTTACTTTTCTATACTTCATTTATACCAGTATTAACCTGTGGCCAGAAATGGCAATTTTGTTTGTATAGAAATTTGATTTAGTGTTGTAGAATTTTAGGGGGTTGTTTTTGTGTGTGTGTGTGTGTGATTTGAATAGCGGCCTATCTACTAGCTAGCCTTTGTGGTACTGATTTAGTACTCTCGAGTTATGCCTTTTCGATTTATATCATCTATTTACTGGCTCTTCAATTAGATGTCTAATTACACCTTGATAGATGAGGAAAAACTGTTCCTGGTAGCTTGCATGTCCAGCAAACTAGAGATGAGCAGACCAAAATTTGTCCGTCCGTCTCGCGGTAGTTTAAATAGACCCCAGTTTGTACCTCAGTAATCTGTGAAAATTTCTCTTGGATGTGTCTGCTTTTGTATGTTTGTAACACTCTTGTGACCCACTATTTCCGGGGTGCCTTGAAAGTCAAAATAGACTTTGTGCTGTTGAAGCTAGAGAGGTGAGCAGAGTAAGTCTGAATCCCTGTAAGGACTTCTCTGTTGACATCCACCCCTTGGCGCTCATATGACCTTATGCAGTTGCAAGCGCCATAAAACCTCCTTTAAAACAAAAAACAAATCGACTCAACACCTCCCAGTTGGGCCATTTTGTGACTCATCAGCCATAAGTCCAGCCAGAGCAAAGATAAATTTCTAATGTCATGTTAGTAATTAGCGCTTCAAAATAAGCAAAGTCTACACATAAACTAGTGGTTTAAATGCATGTTAACAATTTTACTTAATCAGTTTTAATCATTCATACTCAGTTGTTCCTGCTTTGCATTCCTTAACCTTTAACCTTCAACCTGTTCACGCGTGCCGGTAACGAAGAGACCGAATTTTGCCCAACTCGACCAAACTCTCGGGCTTGTTCTGCCTTGCGGGACATACTGCCTTACCCTTGTGTTCCCCTGACTAGACTGGTACTTTTTTTGTCTGCTACCGCAACTTTGTAAATTTTCAGTTCATCATCATCATCCAGTGCCAGATCTGCGACAGACATCGGCAATCAAGGTTCTCCTTTGCTCGGATGCTCTTAAAAAAGCTACGTTTCCCTGATCTTTCCCTGTTACCCTTCTGTTTAGGTTCCCTAAGTAGGTTGCTCTGGGCCTACCCTTACTTCGTTTGCCTTCAATTTTGCCAGTGAGAGCTAGATACGTTGTGTCGATGAGGGCTTAAATTTTTTGTTTCTGTAAATTTAACAAAATTTAGGTGGCATAGCTGGTAAAAGTAAATGGCACAGAGAAGATGTGAGTTCAATTCCTGCCAGGGGTGCATGCAACTTGTTCAATGGAATGTCGTCCGTACGTAGGTCTCTGCCTAATCCAAACTAATTTTTTCAGAAAACAGCGGTTAACCAAAAGAAAAGAAAATCCGCAGGTTTTTTTTTTTTGGTCTACTTGAGCAATCTTTCTAAACTGAAAATCTGGCTACACCAAAGAAAAACCTGCTGTTCCCTCCGATGTTGGTTTAAGAAGACTCCGCTGTATATCAGCTGGGATACTGTAACCCAGTTAGCCTTTTGGGGGGTTAGCCACGTGGGTGGTTGGCGGGTGCTCTGGTGTGGTTTGCTTCTTCTTTCCTATGAAACATCCATCGTCCTTATCTCCCCTTCTTCTTCTTTTTTGTTTGTTACTCTCTTTTAACACCTCTAATCTTCTGGCGCTCATATGACCTTATGCAGTTGTGAGCACCGTAAAACCTCTACTTAAACTAAAACTGGGTTAGCCGCCTGACATTCAGGTTCGAAGCAACCGGCCTGCTAGATTATAATCGAAATGGTGACGAAACAAGTTTAAAACATTTGTGATCTTTCTTATTTTACCCGGTGTTCTGAGCTACCTGATGATTTTGGCAAGATCATCGTCTTTAGCTTTATAATGTGTCTGTACCAGAGATATATATATATATATGTGATGTCCATGACTTTGTACTCTGTCGCAATTCTGGTTCACCATGGTGCGCACTATTTGACTTAATTAATTTGGAACCAAATGTAAGACAAAAAGGGAGAGGTTGAGCGCACACTTGTTGATAACAAGACTTGTGTTCTGCCCGCTATTTACGTGCCCACGGTGTGTACTACCGTACTGTCCCCGTAGTTTTATGCTCCCACATAATTTAGCAAAATTTTATCTTTTTTGGGGCATAATTTCTGATTATTTTCCTTTACCATTCTTTGTTGAAATTAACAGAATCGCATAATTTCACATTTTTGGGCTCAGTTTGCGTAATTTCACTTTTTTTTTGGCATAAAACCGCGTGGACAGAACCGCAGGGAAATTTGTAGAGAGAGCCAAGAGTGGCAGCCATGACAGTGCCCAGTCTAGGATAGAATTCCTCGAGTCTATGGTCGGTTCACTGTATGTAATATAGCACTGTATGTAAAATAACCCTGTAACTGTGTGATCCAAGCTGCTCGGGTTCCCGTGTATTTGCTCTGTATATTTTTCATCTAATCAAGAAATCCAAACTTGGTACACCGGCATTTATGGTGGTGTAGCTGAAAGACGCTTCGCTTCGCTGTCTCACTCAGGACACCCGAGTTCCAATTCCCGAACGGGGAGAAATTTTTATGGGGTTTCTCCGTCTTTCTGCTGGGTTGTTGTTTCTCTCTCAGCCCGGGAGGATCGAAATTGTGTCAATGTTGGCGTAAAAACACCTATGTTTAAAGTTTAAAAAAACAAAAAAGAATGAAAAAGGAACGACAGGTTAGATTATCTGCTAGTCTTGTTTTTTTGTTTTTTTATGATCATTCTGAACCTCTCTCCGACGATGCTGGTCTGGTGTCTGTCTGTCTGTCTGTCTGTCTGTCTGTCTGTCTGTCTGTCTGTCTGTCTGTCTGTCTGTCTGTCTCTCTCTCTCTCTCTCTCTTCTCCCCTCTTTCT